TGAGGTCAGCTTTGGTGACATTATATAACATTCACCAACCGTTTGTGCCTCATTGGCTAAAGGGCATGATTGTTCATTGCCATGTTCAGTCTTGGGCAAATCGGAGGCCGTTTGTGGAAGTTACAGTCAAATATACGGTCATGGCGTCATGCCAGCATTCACCATGGCATCAAATCCCCTCCCTTTCTGGAAAGCTATCAGATCTGAATGGTCATTACAACATCATGAAGACAGTGTATGACCTTAGTGTCATGTTCACTAAATTAGATGGGACAAATATGGGTATTTCACCATAAAACAATATACTTCCTGTTGTCAGGGGGCGTGGCTTAGGTGATGTCAGCTGTCCACATTGTCGTTGTCTTGAGATGTGGTCAGTGATCACACAGACAAAGTTTGAAATAGATCTGTTCATGCACTTGGGAGTTATTAAGTCATGTAATGTAATGGCGAAAGGTTAAAGTTTGAGGCTTAGCCACGCCCACACCTTTCAACTTTTGAAAAATCCGACGGTTGAATTTTTTCCTCTATGTCTTAAGAGTATATAGCAGAAATTTGAAGGAGATTGGTGAAAAGGACGATGGAGCATCACTGTCCATACAATGTGTGAGAAAACCACTAAATCGAGTATTTGGACCAAAATGGCCGACTTCCTGTGCGACTTTGCGCTTGGCTCCAGGAGACTTTTTTGTAGGTCCTGAGACACCACATTAGTGTACCAAATTTCGTAAACCTCAGTCAAAGCTTGGCTTGGGGCTGACAGTTTTAATGGCTCTAGTGGGCGCTATTTGAGAAAATAGGCCACGCCCACAAACACAGCTGTGAATTTCTCTTGGGGGTCAGAATAGGATCACTCACCAGAAGTTTAGTAGCAATATCACGATAACTGAAGAAATGAGAGGCAAACGTATTGCCATGGCGTGATGGCGATTTTCGCCATGCTCCCAAAGCCCCGCCTTTTTTCGAAACCTGCCAGTACTGCATACCAAGTGATCTCAAGTGGTCTACTGCTATTTGCCTGAGATTCCTGGTGATTGGGTAAAAGGAGTCCAATAGGGAGCTGTGAAAATAAGAGTGGCATGGCGAAAGGTCAAAGTTTGAGGCTTAGCCACGCCCACACCTTTCAACTTTTGAAAAATCCGACGGTTGAATTTTTTCCCCTACGTCTTAAGAGTATATAGCAGAAGTTTGAAGGAGATTGGTGAAAAGGGCGACGGAGCATCACTCTCCAAACAACGTGTGCGAAAACCACTAAATCGCGCACTTGGACCAAAATGGCCGACTTCCTGTGCGTTTTTGCCCTTGGCTCCAAGAGACTTTTTTGTAGGTCCTGAGACACCACATTAGTGTACCAAATTTCGTAATCCTCAGTCAAAGCATGGCTTGGGGCTGACAGTTTTAATGGTCCTAGGGGGCGCTATTTCAGACAATTGGCCACGCCCACACATTTTAGCTGTCCATTTCTATTGGGGGTCAGACTAGGATCACTCACAACAAATTTCGAGGTGATATCTCGATAACTTAAGAAATGAGAGGCAAACGTATTTCCATGGCGTGATGGCGATTTTCGCCATGCTCCCAAAGCCCCGCCTTTTTTCGAAACCTGCCAGTACTGGAGACAAAGTAACCTCAACTTGTCTACTGCTGTTTGCCACAGAATCCTGGTGTTTGGGTAAAAGGAGTCCAGTAGGGAGCTGTGAAAAAAGAGTGGCGTGGCGACAGGTCAAAGTTTGAGGCTTAGCCACGCCCACATCTTTCAACTTTTGAAAAATCCGACGGTTGAATTTTTCCCCCTATGTCTTAAGAGTATATAGCAGAAGTTTGAAGGAGATTGGTGAAAAGGGCGACGGAGCATCACTCTCCAAACAACGTGTGCGAAAACCACTAAATCGCGCACTTGGACCAAAATGGCCGACTTCCTGTGCGTTTTTGCCCTTGGCTCCAAGAGACTTTTTTGTAGGTCCTGAGACACCACATTAGTGTACCAAATTTCGTAATCCTCAGTCAAAGCATGGCTTGGGGCTGACAGTTTTAATGGTCCTAGGGGGCGCTATTTCAGAAAATTGGCCACGCCCACAAATTTTAGCTGTCCATTTCTATTGGGAGTCAGACTAGGATCACTCACAACAAATTTCGAGGTGATATCTCGATAACTTAAGAAATGAGAGGCAAACGTATTTCCATGGCGTGATGGCGATTTTCGCCATGCTCCCAAAGCCCCACCTTTTTTCGAAACCTGCCAGTACTGGAGACAATGTAACCTCAACTTGTCTACTGCTGTTTGCCACAGAATCCTGGTGTTTGGGTAAAAGGAGTCCAGTAGGGAGCTGTGAAAAAAAGAGTGGCGTGGCGACAGGTCAAAGTTTGAGGCTTAGCCACGCCCACATCTTTCAACTTTTGAAAAATCCGACGGTTGAATTTTTTCCCCTATGTCTTAAGAGTATATAGCAGAAGTTTGAAGGAGATTGGTGAAAAGGGCGACGGAGCATCACTCTCCAAACAACGTGTGCGAAAACCACTAAATCGCGCACTTGGACCAAAATGGCCGACTTCCTGTGCGACTTTGCACTTGGCTCCAAGAGACTTTTTTGTAGGTCCTGAGACACCGCATTAGTGTACCAAATTTCGTAATCCTCAGTCAAAGCATGGCTTGGGGCTGACAGTTTTAATGGTACTAGGGGGCGCTATTTCAGAAAATAGGCCACGCCCACCGGATGTTCACATCAGATATTTTGTGGGGGAGGACTAGGATCACTCACAAGAAGTTTCGTGGCGATATCTTTAGAAGTGACGAAATGGGAGGCAAACGTAAGGCCACGGCAGTACGCCTGACTTCGCCGCGCCGCCACAGCCCCGCCCTCTGCCGAAAACTCCCATGAAGTGACACAAAGCAACCCCCACTTGTCTTGAGTTACCAGCTACAAATTTGTGGTGATTGAGTGAAATGGGGCCATTTGGGACCTTTCACAGTAAAACTTGACCTTTTTGGTCCTGAGGGGGCGGGGCTTGTGTGATGTCATCATCCGACTATTCAACTTACTTTGTGGGTGGATGACAAATGACCACAGAAAGTTTGGTAACTCTACTCCATTCAGTTATGAAGTTATAGCAATTTAAATTTTTTTGGCGAGTAGTCAAACTTCGAGGCCTTGCCCCGCCCCTTCAACATATACGAAAAGTCAGAATCCTTGTCTCATTTTGTTCGCCCATCCCTTCTGAGCAATTTTACACAATTTTTGAGTTGATCGTGCGAAAAATGATCGAGCAATCCAATCAGAAACGGACCCTAAAAACGGCAAAAACGGCTAAAAATCGCCATTTCAACCCAAAATGGCCGACTTCCTGTTTGATATTGACCATGCTTGCAAGAGACTTTTCTGTGCGGACTGTTGAGTACTACAAGTGTACCAAATTTCATAACTGTACGATAAACTAAGCTTTATGGAGAGGGGTTTTTTTCACTTTCTAGGGGGCGCTGTTCAGCCATTTTCTTTGCGATTTTTTTGGGACCTTTAAAATATCAAATTTTTCACCAGGCCTGACAAGTTTGCAAAATATTGTGAGTTTTGGGGTATGTTAAGGTCCCCAAAAAGCTGTTCAAAGGGGGCACGGAATAACAAAAAATAATCAGAGCAAAAACAAGAGGCCTTCGCAGCGCTTTCGCTGCTCGGGCCTAATCAGAGCAAAAACAAGAGGCCTTCGCAGCGCTTTCGCTGCTCGGGCCTAATTATCAGTCTGGTAAAGGTTATAAAGCCATTTCTAAAGCTTTGGGACTCCAGCGAACCACATTGAGAGTCATTATCCACAAATGACAACAACATGGAACAGTGGTGAACCTTCCCAGGAGTGGGCGGCCGATCAAAATTACCCCAAGAGCGCAGAGAACACTCATCCGAGAGGTCACAAAAGACCCCAGGACAACGTCTACGGAACTGCAGGCCTCACTTGCCTCAATTAAGGTCAGTGTTCACGACTCCACCATAAGAAAGAGACTGGGCAAAAATGGCCTGCATGGCAGATTTCCAAGACACAAACCACTGTTAAGCAAAAAGAACATTAGAGCTTGTCTCAGTTTTGCTACGAAACATCTCAATGATTGCCAAGACTTTTGGGTAAATACTTTGTGGACTGATGAGACAAAAGTTGAACTTTTTGGAAGGCAAATGTCCCGTTACATCTGGCGTAGAAATAACACAGCATTTCAGACAAAGAACATCATACCAACAGTAAAATATGGTGGTGGTGGTGTGATGGTCTGGGGTTGTTTTGCTGCTTCAGGAACTGGAAGGCTTGCTGTGATAGATGGAACCATGAATTCTACTGTCTACCAAAACATCCTGAAGGAGAATGTCCGGCCATCTGTTCGTCAACTAAAGCTGAAGCGATCTTGGGTGCTGCAACAGGACAACGACCCAAAACACACCAGAAAATCTACCTCTGAATGGCTGAAGAACAACAAAATGGAGACTTTGGAGTGGCCTAGTCAAAGTCCTGACCTGAATCCTATTGAGATGCTATGGCATGACCTTGAAAAGGCAAATAAAGCAGAATTACAACAATTCTGCAAAGATGAGTGGGCCAAAATTCCTCCAGAGCGCTGTAAAAGACTCGTAGCAAGTTATCACAAACACTTGATTGCAGTTATTGCTGCTAAGGGAAGCCCAACCAGTTATTAGGTTCAGGGGGCAATTACTTTTTCACACAGGGCAATGTAGGTTTGGATTTAGTTCTCTCCCTAAGTAATAAAAACCATCATTTCAAAACTGCATTGTGTTTACTTGTGTTATCTTTGACTAATGATTAAATGTGTTTGATGATCAGAAACATTTTGTGTGATAAACATGCAAAAGAGTAAGAAATCAGGAAGGGGGCAAATAGTCTTTAACACCACTGTAATTTTTAAAATTATTCTAGTTTGTTCCATCTTAAAAGCAGCAGTAAATGTAAAAAGTTAACAGAAATTCTCCCACTGAACAGCTAGAAAATAAATAAACACTTACGAATGTGCTGTTGCTCAGAATTATTTCTGTCTCATTCAAGACGAAGTTAAACTTGATGACATCACCGTCTCTGTTCCTGTACACCACCTCCGAATCTGACACCAATAAAAAAATAAAGCAGAACAAATATTTACTTAAATAAGACATTTCCCAACCATTAACCTATAGGGAGAAAAAAAGTCTCAAAAGGTGTGTGTGTGTGTGTGTGTGTGTGTGTAGATTTGTCCAATTGATTTGTAACTAGTATTTTCATTTTGGTGTGTAACTTCAACATATACAAATTGTTGAAAATGCATACAAATCAGCTGGTACACACAGACAAATCTACATTACACACAGATTAGGGTAAAAGTACAAAATTCCTTTTGAGACTCTTTTGACTGATTTGTGCATACATGGTGCATTTGAAAGCTGGAAAATCTGAATTTCTTGGACTTAGTCTAAACTTGTGCTGAAGGGACAAATATGCATTTCTGTTGAAAAATGTAGTATCTCAGGATGCTGTAGTTATAAAAGATAGACCTACATTTAATTTTAAATTGTTCATTTAGCTGATGTGTTTATGAGCCAAGAAAACGAAGTCAAAGGGTTATAGTAAATGACCACTAGATGGCAGTGTGGTTCTGACTGGAAAAAGCAGGCTTTAAACCGGTAGATGGCATTCGAGAAGATGGCGCAGCGTGGTCAAAACACATCATTACTTTTCTTTTAAATTGAACTACAACATGTGTGATTCAGGGCATAAGGCTAAGCAAATTAGAAAATAGCTCTTTGAGTTCAGTTGACTTGTATAAAATGTGTCAGTCTTCCGGGGACCCATGAACCGACCGGATAGGAAGGAGACTTAGGCTCCCAATATACAGTATGACATCAGTGATATCAAACATTATCTCCATCTTCTTCTTCTTGGTTTAATCACAGATGGCATAAACAAACCGTGGCCTTTAAAGTCTGGAAGGATTTTGTAAGTCCAGCGATGAGGATGGCAGAGATGCTTTGCAGTGTCGGAGATGCTCCCTGGTGTGGACTGACATGTCAAGAAGCATGAGAGTAAACCATCCCACTGCTGTTCCGTGTCGCTGATCTCTCCAGCGTGGATTTTGGGTTAAAGTGGTGGGACACGTAAGTGTTGTGTAAGGTCTTATGAAGTGTAACACGCAGCTAACAGCCACTATTATAATCAATGGGTGTGTTTCCAATGGGCACAAAGAATGTCTCAGAAGCATAATGTTTTGGCGATCCACTAAATGTATGCTTCAGATCCACTTAATGCGCGCTTTGCTTCCAGAACACCATCAAGCTCAGCAGCTCAGATTAGGCCAGACAGGAAGTCAAAAACAGGAGCAGTGTAAAGCTTCTGGCAAATTTCTAATTAAAAGCCATTTGCAGATTTTCTATTGTTTATGTTTAAGTATTTAGCAGATGCTTTTGTCCAAAGCGACTTACAGATGCCAATCAAGCCAGCAGGTTGCCCTTGAGGCTAACAACAAACACTATTCAATCAATCCTAGGGGGCAGCGAGGTTGCAGAATCAATCATTGAGGGAAGCAAACAAAGTGTGCAGTAGAGTGGGGTACGGGTGCAGGGAGGGTGCTAGTTTAGAAGACGCTCTCTGAAGAGCTGGGTCTTCAGGAGTTTCTTGAAAATTAATCAGGGAAGCCCTGTTCTAGTAGTGCTTGGTAGGTCGTTCCACATCTGTGGAACAACACATGAAAAGAGTCTGGATTGTCCTGAGCGTGGTGTAGGCACTGCTAGCTGACAATCCTTCGATGACCGGAGCAGCCGTGCAGTGACATAAGCCTTTGCAAGAAGATTCAGGTAGATGGGAGCTGTACCATCCAGGACTGTGTACGCCAGTGCTAGCGATTTGGATTTGATGCGTGCAGCTAGCGGTAGCTAATGGAGCTCGACGAATAGAGGGTGACATGTGGTCTTTAAGGCTGATTGACTAGTCACACCTCCATGGCCAAGGTAAGCAGAACAAAAATGCACCATGGACCTTTTGGATACACGCTGCCGTCTTGGTCCCTGATTGTTTTCACATGAACCGCCACAATCACGAGCAATCTTTCAAATCTACAAATCTACATTTTGTGTTCTCTGGATAACACATTGCATGGAATGCATTTGCAGTTGCTGTGAGTCAGAAATGCCCCCACTCAGAAGGGACAGGCTGCTGAAGTCCTGGTGAAATTGTGTTTGTACGTGACACAATGCTTACATATTCAGTGGAAAGCCAGAGTAATGACCATGGCAGGAATGCTGTTGTCTCTCATCTACCCACATTTTAATTTACGTATTAGAATATCTTAACTCAAAGTAATTTTTTAACTTCTGTTTCATTATTACTTCTGTTATGAGTTCTGAAGTTGTGGTCTTATCTTTTTCCTAAGACCTTCTGGGCCACCATACAATGAAAACATCAAGCAACTAAACACTATAATCTGGTCCTGTTAATTGTGCTATTTTATAATAAAAGTTGTGTTCTATTTGTTTATTTGAATTTAAACTGATTTTAATGCTGACCAAAGCTGGAAGCCTGGCACCAGTTAAAAGGCACAAGTGATGCAACGGCAGGCAAGAGTTGAATTCTTTAGAGTAATACAACAGCTGTAACCTTTATTAGTGAAGGAATAAAAGAGGAAATGGAAACCACCAATCCACAGGAAATAACAGGTGTAATTTGTTTTAATAAAGGTAAATAAAAATAACAAAAAACAAGCCCACACCAGTCCTCTGATTCCACTTCTCTGGTGATTCAGAGCCTGTCAGGCCATTAGCCACCACTCAAAAACCAGTCTGGCTGTCCACTGGGAGCTCACAGATACACACAAAGAAATAGCCATGCAGTCGGCCCGGTAAGCACACACACTATGCTCTGGATCTACGTCTCATCTCTGCCCACCAAAACTGGAGCTTTTTGCACCAAATAAAACCCCAAATCATAGAATTTAATGCAAGGGCTGTTTTTATTCCATAATATCTCAATCCGTTTTCCTGTATAATGCAAACATAAAGCACAGCCGAATGTTGTTAATTTAAACAATTCCCTCCCATTTCCCATCAATTAATTCAAACTGAACCCAAAACATTTGGTTCTGGTTTTAATTCCCTCGTCACTCCAAAATCTCATTTAAAGTGAAACTGCGGCCGATTGAAGCCTAGGAAATCACCAAGAGTTTAGTATGCCTGTTCACTAGTAATTCACAGCGCTGCAAGATGTCCAGACCGATAGAGGAGGACAAATCAAATGTAAGAGCATGAATAAAGGGAACCGTTTTAGGCCATTTCTGCAGGCGCTTTCCTCCTTTTGTCCTTCAAACATCAACCCATAACATCTCTTTTAAAGCCACAGTTGACGTTTTTAACTTGAGAAAAGACTGAGCGTGCAATTTATTTGTCAAATTACAGCAGCTCCATTCAATCATTCCAGCATGAAGTCACTTTGAAACCTTGTTTTCCTGCCAAGCTGCTAAAAAACAAGACCCAGGAAGGAAGCTCTAGACTCAGAAATACGTTGAATTACTGTCAGTGAGGGAAATTTGATTTTGGGGCCACATTTCAATCTATTTTAACAACACTAATCCCATAAATTTTATGCTAACAGCCAATATTTGAAGTATTTTCTAGACCTCTTCAATTCAGCTTGACAGGCTGTCAGTCAATCCCTGGTCTAAATCCTGACAGATGGCAGCTCCATCTTAGAAAATCAAGTTTTAATCTTCCTGAGGGCATTTCCTTTCTCATCTGAAGCGCTCTTTTATGCAGAAAAATGGCAGCTTTTAAACTAAACAAATAAATCTCTCCATCCTGAATGGTTATTAGGGTCTTTATTTGACCTGAAAAGGATTCATGTTGTACCAGCTTGCACCAGTGCTGCTATTAATGGTTTCAACTAACATATTTGAAAGATAATACAGCATGTTAGAGATTTGATTGTCTATTAGATAAATAAGATGTTAATAGAACTCAAAGGCTAGTATGGGAGACAGATACATGTTCTTTTAGAGAAGAACATGTAGGTAGAGACACATAGGGATGCCTTGAGTTGACGCACGCTGTTACGTGGGGAGATGCTAGATTGGATCACCTGGAGGGACACCACAATACATGGCATTGTTGGATTGGCAGGAAATGTTCGCCAAATAAAAAGCAACAATTTATTTTGTTCGGATGCTTCCTTTTGACAGACTGAAACCAAAGTGTTTCCAAAAAGGCATTATATTCTCTTTATAGCAGCGCGATCTGACGTTAGTTCATTTGCTGAGTGATCGTTTGTCATGGTCTGTGTCTGCATCTTCCCTCATGTGTCTCCTTGTGTCCTCCATTTGTTCTCTAGGTGCTCCTTTTGTGTCCTAGCACCCTCATGTGTCGTGTCTGCGTCTTCCTCATGTGTCTTCTGGTTTTCCCCATTTGCCCCTAGATCTCCAGCCCTCTAGTTTTCTCAAGTCATTTCCTTTAGTTACAGCCTTTTCATGATTTAGTATGTTTTTTCCCATCAGTGTTTATTATTTTTCTCCCCCCTCCCTTTGAATTGTAGTTAGGTTTCCTGCTCTTTTGTATTGGGTTTTATTATTAGGTCAAGTTAGTTTCTCCCCTGATTAGTCATTGCCTTCACCTGGTCCTCCTCCCACACCCCTGCAGCTCATCTCCCTCTCATCCTCCCTGTGTGTATAAGCCCTGTCTTGTCTCAGTGTCTTGTCGGTCCATTGTTTGTATTCTGTCAGTCTTGTCTTGTCTCCAGTGTTTTTGATCTAAGCCTTCTCTAGCCTCCTGTGTTTTTGGTCTCTAGTTTTTGGACTGCCTTTGGATTTATTGGCTCCTCCAATAAAGGATTTTTTTCCTATATCATATCCTGCCTCTTGTCATCCTGGGTTCTGCATTTTGGGTCCTACCATCCCCTACCATGACACTTATGTTACAGAGAAGCGCAGGAGAGGTCCACCGCCGTTTCCTGGAATTTACACATCTAACATTTACAGCAGAACAATATCCAAATGATGTTTAAAGTTTGGGAAAACAACTTTATTAATATATCGTTAAATGTTTTGGTAAATAAAACAGTTTTGGTTTCTTTTTTGGTCAAATTTATTTA